TAACAAATAATTGATTTCAAAAGTCAATTTATTTGTGTTGTCCGATGAATAAATGGACGTTGTATAAAAAGAATTTTTGTCTGCAACTTTGTCGCACTATTGACAGAAAAAGGTCAGCGAACGTCACGCTTTGAGAATTATAATCGATGCCAACACAAATGTCAGAACTTTAGATAAAGCCTATTTCCTAATATTGATTAAAAAATGTTCTGTTTTCAAATCATTAATAGAAGTTTTTGTTAAAAGTAACTGAGCCGTTTTGTCCCATTATTTTAATTTTATTCGAATCGAACAACAATGAGAAATTTATATATTTATTTGTTAGAAGGCTCTGCTCATCCCTACCATTGATTATTTCGTAATCATTTTTGATTATTTGCGATAAAAAATTTGTAAAAACAAAAAAACTTTTTTTTTTATTGTATTGACACAGTTTCAGTTCCTGATTTATTAAAATACACTTTAAAGCTAAACATTTAAAATTAAACAAACTAACATATTTTTCAAAAAATTATTATCTAATTTTTTATTGTTATAAAAACACATATGTTTTTTGCATAAGAGATTATTTAGTAATAGTGCGGAAAACTAATTTAAAAATTTTGCTTCAAAAACTTTGATTAATTATTTTATATTCATTATTTTAATGGCATATGTTGACTGGAGCGAGTTTTATTTCCGAAAGCAGTTTATTCCTATTTTTGTAAAGCAAATAAATCATTTTATTTATCAGCACTGCACCGCTAAATAACGTTCAATTTCTCAGTACTATGTTAGCAAATAGCGATTCACAATTTTCTTATTCAAGTTTTTTTTTTAATGTTGCATAATTGAGTTAAACGACTTTTTAAAAACCGTTATTATGATTTACACAAAGAGAATGGCAAATAAAATATCTGCATTATTACTTCCGAGACAAACTGGTCAAAAAAGTAATCATTCTGAAGCTTGATGGGCTTCGAGCCGCCGCCCGGAATAGAATCTCGGTTGTTACGAATGACTGCAATAACCACTAAGTCGTTAGATGATTTAGAAGTTTTTTCTTTCTTTTTTTCAAAATAATAATGAATTAAATAAATAATAATTATAAAAAAAAATAATTGCAAGAAAATAATTCAAAATTGAAAATTTTTTAAAACTTATTTTTTGGCGGTTTTCAACTAAAATAACCTTAAAAAGCTAAATCTTAATGTATTGAATAATATCAAAATTCTTGTAAATTTTTTCTAAGAAAAGAGAAGAGAAAGACAAAATGACAACAAATGTTTTCCTTGGTTTTCTGAGTAAAATATCAACAATAAATAATAAATAAACAAAATATAACTGTTTCATTTGGATTTTTTTAAAACTTATAATATTATAATTTGAAGCCCATAAAAAAAAAACTATTCTTCTTCATTGTGTTGTCTTAAACAATAGAAAACTGTGGAGGAAAAAAAAACTTCAACAACGTTCATAATTACATAAAAAATAAATAAAAAATAGCGCTGAATATTCAAATCTACAGCTATCACTATCGCCATATGAGAAGAATTGCAAGAAAGAAAAAAAAAGGAAAGCTTTTGAAATTGCTAATTATTGTTTGAACTAATAATAAAAATAAAAAAGTTTATTTTTGTATTCAACGAAATCCTAAAACTTTATTAAATAAAAAGAACCATTTAGTAAAAAAATTTTTTTTTTATTTTTATGAGGCAAGTAAACTAAAAGGTTTTTAAAATACTTGTGCATTCAAGCTTTAAATAGCAAATAGGTCAAGCACAACGACAGCATTCTGTGAACAATTACGATATTAAATTTAGGTTAATATTTTGAGACAAAAAACGTGAATATTCAAGGAAGAAATAAGCTGTTATGTGCATGAAATTAAATGTGTATGCATAAATAAATAAAACAAATAATAAGAAGAGGAAAGAATCGTAATTAGGAGCGGAAGAAAAATTTACGAATGGCAAAAAATTTACATTAAAGGCTAGTTGATAATCGTCCATCAATTTTTAGAGACAAAAATAGTAAAGTGTTGACAGTTTTCCCTGTACGGATACAGTGTGTAGAATTTATACAAAATATATGCAATGCAAAAAAAGATGACAAGGGAAAAATAAGAAATGTCCCCGAAACACCACTTGCACTGGTGATTATTACTGTATGACAAATAAGATAAAAATAGCGAAGGAAATATTTAGTTGGCAAGAAAGTATAATTTCAGTTTGCTCTTATAAACGGGGCTTTTTTTTTCTTCTTTTATTTACTCATTTTGCTTATAAATTTATAAATGAATCGTGTGATCTTACAACGATTGGTTCAGTCTATAAAAAAAATAATTTTATTGGTTTTTGTTTAACATAATAGTTGTCTAATTGCACTAGTTCCATTAGAAACTAGATTCATTTTCGCTATTTCAAAATTATAAATTATATTTATTTTTACTATACAATTTAATTAAAAGAAGTTAAATAATCAAGAGAAGTTCAAAGATATTTTTAAATTAGTATTATTATTAATAATAATAATAAACTGCATTCCTTACAGCTGAATTTATCAAAATCTATAATCTACCAAATTTTTTCTGCTCATAGATACGGAGTTTCACATAGAGCAAAACCAGGGACCGACCACGACTTCAGGCCCAAGGCCCACAAAATATTCCGGGCCCCTAACAAAATATTTTGAAATTAAATTTCTGAAGGGTAGTCCTAACAATAAAAAGAATCTATTAAACTGCATGATCCAAAAGAAACATTCTAAAAAAGTTTAAAAGCAGACAATTGAAGATTATTTTTCTAAGATAAAGTTTATGCACCTAAATATTAAAGCAAAATATAAAACAACAAAACAATGTTGTATGAAAATAAAAATAGTTGGGTGAACACAAACAATTGAAATCAGTGATTTTTGCTAAAAGTCACTGATAAGCTGAATTATTTTAAAGATTGCAGCCTTCCATATTTGTCAAGAACAAGCTTTTAGTTCTTGTTGACACTAACAATTTATAAGAGACTGCGAATATGCATTCTCGTTGCATTTGCTTAAGCCATTGGAGTAAAAATTGCACCAATTAAAATTCAGTTTTACTTTCGAATTTGAGTAGTGCAATCTTTACACGAGTTTGGTTTATCACAATATAAAGAAAATTTGAAATAAAAAATGCCTTTTTTAAGAAAAACTGTTTCCTTCAGTAATGTTTTTTTTTTTTTTAAAGTAATATTGTGGACTTTTTTCTAATATTTGAGGCCCCCTAGAAAGTGTGGGCCCTAGGCACGTGCCTATTGGGCCTAGGCGATAGTCAGGCCCAGAGCAAAGACAAAGCTTGAATCGTATGCCACCATAGACCACAGCTTTAAAGAAATAGTCTGCATCCATTTTAAATGTTTTTTTTTTTCTTTTTTTGTGGTAAAAGTTAAAATAATATTCTACTATGTTAGCGTTTTTAATTTACGGATTTTTGAAAAATCTCTTATTTTTCTCTTACGTAAGTTTGATATGTTTTTTCACGGGCTCATGCGTATTTCGCCAGAACTGACGCTTGCGCACCAAAAGGGCACATGCGCAATAACTTAAAATCTTATTTACCGGGGACGTTCGGAAGCTAATGTAAATTTGCGAATTCTATCTCATGACAAAATTCAATCGTATCGTCATATAATTATAGGAGAAATTACAAATCAGTTAAATGTATCAAACACAACAATTGAAAATTATATAAACATTTTAGGCATGAAGTTCGAATTGAAAAAAATTCATCGAACACAACGAATCTATATACATTTTATGAAGCCATTTTTCATCACTAACTTTGCATGACAAACATTTTCGAATTTCCAGTAGGTTCAGTGGCGTAGTTTTAATGTATGTTAGGAGGTGATTTATCCCACACCTCCTTCGCCTACACACGGTTTCTTATAGTTAGTCCGTTCAGACTACTATGAAGTCAAACCAGTTTGCGAAAGAGCCATTTAATAGAAAATCTAGCAAAAATAAAAAAAGTGGTAGGAAATTTGTTTAATTTATGAATATGATGGGTTTGTCTTATTTACTTGTCAAATAAATAAATAAATGTTACCTTTTTTTACTTTTTGATTATTCGAAACATTTAGAATTATTTTTATAACAATTCGTCGTTTTCAACGACTTCTAAAAAAAAGGTGTTTTCTGAAAGATTTCATACTCTGAGAAGAAGTTGACCAACTGCTTTAAAATTTTCGATCGAATAAAGGGATCTGCATAACACACAGTCTCATTTTGAGACTAATGAAGAAAATTACGAATTTCTGGCAAAAATATTTCGAAGAGAAGTTAAGAAAAAACATCTGGACACTACTTGAAAGCTTTTCGGTTCAGAAAAAAATTTAATTATTGCAAACATGGTGGTAACTTAAAAACATCAATATTTAACATAGTTTTTCGAAGCTCTGTCGCCAAAGAAAATAGAAAGCCACAGTTTAAGTGCCTCACACTTGAAACAAAACAATGATTTTAAACTATACATAGGCTTTAGAACGGACAAATAACTTAAATATTTTAAAAATTATCAAACATTTTTAAAAAATCACCAATTTGGCGACATTTTTCCACTGATATGAAAATTAACAAAATCACAACCTTATTCTCAGTTTTTGCAAATTTTCATGAGCATTGGAGTGCATGCAGCATTGGAGTAAGTTCTGAAATATTAAAAAACTAGACCATAAATGCTTTTTATTTTCACAAAACTGTGGTTTTTTTTCCATTGCGCCATTTTCAGAATAAGAAAAGACAGCGATGCCTTTAGACTAAACCTATTCAAACAGTCATCAGTAACTGTTGCAGACAAACAGCACATTTTTCGCAAAAAAAGAGCATCATTTCGTATGACGACGAAGCCTTCAATAAAAAATATATATGTCAAAACCCGATTTCAAAAGTTTCAATATTTAACAACTCATTCTACCTTTTCTACTTAATAGGGACCTAAATATGGCAAAAGGTCAAGGATAAAATAAAGTGAAGTTGAAACTCACTTGTTCTGTAGGGCAGCATTTTCTTGCTTGACCCTATTGTACCTTTGGTCTGTATTGACTTGGTGATCTGTTAACGTTGCCACTTGACTTTGTAATTCTTGGACCTAACAAAAAACAAGAAAACAAATTCAGAAATGTTAATTTTTTATATCAAGTGGTTTGAAACAGTTCCGTCAGAAAATGATTTATTAAATAGTTTTATTGTTTTGTATCATAATGATTGAGAGTAGAGTCTGTGTTTTTTTTTAAATTAATTTCACACAATTCAGATTTCATCCATAAATTAGATTCATCATATTTTAATCAAATAGTATCTTTTTTTATTTTCTTCAAAATTCGTAGTTTCAAATACCGAAAAAAAAGCAAAGTTTATGTCGTACAAAAACACAAATTAATAGCGGAAATTAGTCTCAAAAACAATAATAGAATAAACTACTTTTAAAAATAAATACTTATTTAAAAAAGTAAAGTTTTGCTTCGTCAAAAATATCTGTATATTATTCATTTTATTTTATTTGTTTTTTCCTGTTTGACCTACGAGTGAGCTGAAGCGCTGATGCTAAAGGAATATGAATTCATTTCCCCCCCTTCCATCTTTTTCGTTATGTTTACTACTTTAAAACGACAATGCTTTGACGATTATTTATATTTACTAATTTATTATTATTTCGAGTGATCACCCATTTTTAGCCACCAAAAGAAATAATTAAATTGATGGTGTGTTTGACTGAAGTATGTTATTATTTAGCTATTGAAAGTAGGGTAACTTTAACTTATTAATATTCATTTGCTTGTTTGTTTAGTGACTGTAAAATTCTAAGAACTAAAAAAAGTGAAAGTCTTCCTCAGAAAAAATGCCTAAAAAAACAATAAGCAATATCAATTTTAATGAATAAACTCTAAGAGTGATGGAAATATGACCACTCATATTGAACTAATAATATGATTTTTAAAAATAAAAAAGCAATAAAATTATCTCCATTAACACCAGTAAGGCTAAAAAAGCCTTCACACTAGACTCAATTCATGCTAGAGTTTGTCTACGGTAAGAACTCCCCTCGCCACAAACTCTAAGGCCGTCTGTTGCTATGGAAACAAGAATAGTGCATTTCAGGGAGAGTAGCTTCTCTTCCCTCGAGGGCTAACGCAATAGACTGAAGAAAAAACATTCCTTTTCTTTTTCGTTGACCCCACACCCCTACTTTAAATAGTTATACCTCGTTACCATAGTCACCGCCACGGGTCTAGACGAATGGCTAGGGGTTCTTACTTTAGACAAATTATAGTAAGAAAGGGCTTAACCTGGTGCCTAGAAAATATTTATCAGTCAGCCTCCCATAGACTAGCTCAATTCTTCAACCCTTCCATTCAACAACCATTATGGTGAGAGCCACGATGGCTCAGGGGATAGAGCCAATGAGGTGAAACGGGTTCGATCGCGGCGATGGCTGGTCGATACGAATTCCGCATCCGGCTTGCACCAATCACAGTGCTGACGTAAAATATCCTCAGTGGTAGATGAATCATGGGTTAGAGTCCCCTTGCCGTCAGGCTAACCGCGGAATGTTCTCGTGGTCCTCCTCTCCATGTAATGCAAATGCGGGTTAGTTCCATCAGAAAGTCCTCCACGAAGACAAATTTCTCCCAATACTTGATCCAGAAGTTTCCTTGTCTTCTGGATGGGGTCCAAAATGACAAGGCTACGGAGTTGAACATTAGTAGTCGGAAACCAAAAAATTGCAACGGCTGTTCAACGACGGTTATAAAATATAAAAATTATGTTGAAATTATTAATACTTATAATAAAGCATATAGTCCTCCCTTGTTGAAATGGAGTTGTAAGTTTCACCTGTCGAAGTGAAAAATACATTTTCCGTTCACGTTAAAAGTAAATATTTTTCCAAGGGCATTTAAAACTAGAGTTCATAGTAAAGGATAGTTTATGTTATGAATTCTCAAAAATATTACATCCGCATAAAATTTGACAGGAAATCAAAAACTAGTTTATGTTAAACGATATCCGCATTAATAGAGTTCTGATAAACTTTTTTTTTTTTAAATTAAAGATTAGAAAAATTTCTAAAATATTCACACTAATAATTATTTCGTCGTATACAAAAACTTCTAAAGAGCAATTCTTAGCTTTTTGAAATCAATAATTTTCCCTTCTATACGTGATGATGCTTTTCGAATGCATTTTAAAAAATAAACTATTTGCTATATCATTAAATTTCATACCTATTTTCTTTAAAGAAATGTCAAAATCAAATAGCCCAATCTCAACGTTCACCGAAAATGGAGCGAAATTTATTAAGAAATTTATTAAAACAGTCTTCAATAATATAATCTAAAAATCGCGAAAAGCACTTTTTCTCAACAAGATATAAGAAAACCCAGCTATCCAAGGAATATCCTTCATACACGCGAGCACGTGTTTGTGCCGCTTTACGTAACCTCAATAAAGGTCGTTAAAAAAAGAGAGGGAGGAAGAAGAAAAAAATTGATTATAGAATATCGAGAATCTTCCTAAGTGGTGCTCCCAAATTATATTGTTTTATTTTTCTGCGTGGGATTCAAACATGTAATTCACACTCATGCATGTAAGCGACGGTAATCATCAATTTAATTATACGAATTATTTTGGAAAATAATTGAATTATAGTTGCGAGTTTTAACAATCAGTATTCAGTAGAGCACCGATTAACCAGACTAAAGCCGATCCGGATAATGAAAAATACGGATAATGGGACAACTTTATAAAATGGCAATGAGAATGTTTTTAAGTAACGTCCCTTCAAACTTTTTCTAGGCTTAGGATTCGCAATTGTAATAGTGCTTGTATACATAAAATCTCATTTAAAAATTTTCAGCTGGTAATGATTAACTCTAGTAACTAGTTTCAATCCTTTCGTCGCCATCTCAATTTGGTAAAATTTGTTTGAAAATGGCGTTTTTTTTCTATTTGCTTTTTTAAAGTAATTTTTATGAAACTTTTACGAAACTAATTCATACTGAAGGAATGAACTTGGTAAAAAACCGAAGAAGCTGAAAATAGAAATCCACAAATATCACGCATAACAATTTTTAAATAATTGAAAAAGTACTTAAAATTTGAGCAAAGAAAGAAGTATGTAAGAGCATTTGTTCACAGAATCTTATCAACGTTTCAATAAAAATATGGAGGCGGGATTTTATTTATTCGTTTAAATTGTGTGAATATGGATCTCATAGTATGATTTTTAAATCACGCAAATACGAGTGCAGAAATTTAATTTTAAAATCGCGTGAATACGAATCTCGATGCATCATTTTAAAATCGCGCGAGTACGAATCCTGATGTTTCATTTTAAAATCGTAGAAAAATTAATTCACTTGTACACAAATCATGGGGGACTTTTAAATCGGGTAAATACGAAAAACGATATTTTCTATAAAATCGTGAAATAAAATTTTAAATCGCATAGATAGGAATCGCGATGTGTGATTCTAAATCGTATGAATGTAATTTTATATCGTTGGCGTTGATTGCAAAAGGCGTAAAAATTAATAAATTTTTTTTCTTCTTCTCAGGAATTCGAAGAAAAAAAACTTTCTTTGAAGAGACGTACTTTTTTTCTTTCCTTTATTAGCAATAAAAAAATATCAGTGAACGGCGTTCCTGTATATTATACAGGTCTGGTAACAGCATATTACAAATAACATTTTAAAAGCTCAAATTTGTCATACTTTTATTAGAAAACTATCTTATCTTTAAAAAGTACTTTTCAAGGTCATTGAAGAACAAAATACATTCCTCGACCCCATTAAAATATTTTGAAAAAACTATTTTCTCGGAGGATAACAAAAAAAATGAAGAAATGGAAACAATCCAGCTGATTGAACAATCCGATAAATCGACTTTGGTATAATCGAAGCTTTACTGCATTTACATACACTAGAGTTCGCATAGCGGTATTAGGAAAATTTTTAGGTCGGCCTAAAAACATGAAATTTGACCTAAAAACATGACAGAAAAAACTGAAACAGACCTAAAAACATGAAATTTGATACATACATAGGTCACCTATGTATGTATCAAATTTCATGTTTAGTAGTCTGCCCGACCTGAAAATTTTCCTAATACCGCTATGTGCATGTGAACTCTAGTGTATGTAAATGCAGTAAAGCTTCGATTATAACAAAGCCGATTTATCGGATTGTTCAAAGGTCGATACAAATGAATTCATCAATTTCAATATAGAAGCAAGAGCGGGTGTGACATTCATCGGACTGGATAATAGTCGCAAAATTTAACCAAAATAAAGAGGGAGGGTCTTAGTAATATACCAGATTTCACACAGGAAAAAAGGCAGTTTAGGAGATTTTGCGGCAATTGGTACCACTTGTTCTTGGGTACTAAATAATTGAGGCTTTTTTTCCTTTTTGTAGTCAAAGATTATTCGATCTATGGACAAGTGCGGAACAAATATGCGAAAACATTCTAGAAAAAGGCTAAAGATTGTTCTATCTCATTGCAAACATTGAGAAGTAAACGATTTCAAGTGTTATTTTCAGACCTACGATAAATTGACGGACAAAAACGTTCGAAATATTTCAAACCGACAATAAGAGTGGGAAGAAAAAACATTTAAGAGTTATTTTTATTCCCAACGGAATGTTGAGAATTATTACTTCAAGTCTTATCCCGCCAAGTGTCAAAGCTTAATCTGTACAAAATATCGACGCCTGCTATTTTGGAACCTCCTTTAATTTATAATAATCACTAACAAATGTTCCATTTCGGATTTGCACTATCAAAGTTTAATTCCGCAGACAGATAATTTTGAATCCAACCAAGAAGATCCAGTCCATCCTAGATCCAGTCACAGAACAAACTCAACGAGCCATATAATCGGTCAACCACTAGGGAGGTCGGGATAGCCAGGTAGGTAGGACGTTGATTTCTTGTTCGTGAAAACGGGAGTTCGAACCCTGGCGGTCTATTAAGTGGTGACTGGTGCACGTTAAATCAGTCGGGGTCACAAAATCTTTCAAGTTCCCATAACAAATTAATACCACTGGGGGAAAAGAATTGCAGATTGATTGTTCTCTGGTTCAGGCTAAA